TGGCTCTCATACTAACCCACTTGATTAATACCCTGAATCATCTACATTGAACAAGTAGGAAGAGAAGTAGTCGTGACATACTTCTGATGGGTCTGCAATTCAGTGGTAAGCAAACCAGCCAAGCAACTAACATTTTTAGGAGGTCAGCAATGGCAGAAAACAGATTTCTAATGACAGGTTTATGTCCAGTGGGATCTTTTAGCGAAACAGCCATATGCACAAATCTAATTACCAAGCTCACATTTCTACAGTTTTAAACCAGTGTGAGAACACTCCATAAAAAACAGCCGCCTGTTGGAAGTTCAGGGCAATTAAAATGCAATCTCTGTATATCAAGTAATGTCTTTTTACAAGTAATATGTTTCAGCTTCATGGCACGGCACAGCAGTGGAGAAGTGCATGAGCTCAGTGGCGAAGGACAGCTACTGAAAAACACAATTTTCCATCTACAAAATTAAAGAAACCCCAGTCTAAATACATATAGCTCCATCACTACAGTTTTTAAATGGCAGACTTGTTTAGATCTCAATAACCCTGTAACAATTTGTTCTCTGTTCCTGAAAGGGCGAGAGATACTAAGGTGCAAATTACCGGATCTTTAAGGGCCCTTTTAAAATAAAGCAATTTGTAGCATAAATGTGCATTGTGGTAAGGAAGCCCATTCATTAAGCATGAGCTGCCAAGACACCACAACAGATGAAAAAACACGCATGACCCTTTTTTTCAAAATGCAGCGCACTGAATTGGCCCTTAAAGTGTATCTAAAGTAAAACCTTTGTTTTTATTTTGGAGGAAGTAGGGAAGGCTCAGAACCTCTATCAGGTTGATGTCTGTGTCCCAGCTGGGAGATTGACCTTACCATTTGTTTTTGTGGCAATTGCCACTGGGACAGGAAATAATGTGAAGTCCAAAATATTACAACGGTCATCAATCAAGGTGTCCAAAAGAACACTGAAAGCAAAATGAAAAAACTGAGTTTCTAAAACAAAAAGGTGTTGGACTTTAGAGGACATTGTATTAATATTGGTTTATTTCACAACTGCTGTTTTTCTCATCCAAGTCAATCAGAATGCAAAGGCAACTCAGAAAGAGGACAGCAGCATCTCACATCACCATAAATTGGTCAGTTTGCCAAAGCATAATGCAAGCAGCGTTTTATGTGCTGCTCTTTATCAAAAAGTTCAGCTCACTAACGGTTTTACCAAGGGGATCAGCTGAATATACTTCATGCACATTATATCATTGATTTTTTTTTTTTTAGGCGTTTTGTATAAAAGTCAATACAAAATGATTCCCACAATGGTTTTCACTTCTTACAATAGCACTGCCTTCTGGTTGATGTTAATTGTGGGGCTCTAAGAGGTGCCTCCTGAGACGAGCAGAAAAAAGAAGCCATTCCAGATAGAGATAAGAACTATTCCAGAAATAAAGGCTTACAATATGTAATGATTGCACATGCACTGATCAGCCATAACATTATGATCACCGACAGGTAAATTGAAAAACATTTAGTATTACAATGGCACCTGAAAGTGGATGGGATATATATATATATATATAAGGCAGCAAGTGAACATGTTGTCCCTGAAGTTGATGTATTGAAGGCATAAAAAAAAATGGGCAAGTGTAAGGATTTGAGCAACTTTAGCAAGATCCAAATAGCTAGAGAACTCGGTCATAGAATTTCCAAAACCGCAGCTCTTGTGGAATGTTCCCGGTTCCTAGTCTGCAGTGGTCAGGACCTACCAAAAGTGGTCCAATGAAGGAGAACAGGTGACAGAGTCACATTGATACACGTGGGGAGTGGAGGCTGACCTGCGTAGTCTGATATAATAGAAGAGCTGCTGTAACTCAAATTGCTAAAAACTTAAAGTGGTTCAGATGTGAAAACAATTTTACCTTAATACACACACAGCCCAACTCGGGAGCAAGCCCACGAGTGCCCCCAAGCAAGAGGAAGAGAAGGAGCCTAGAACACTGGAGGACCGAAGAAGAGAAGGTTCGGGGCCACTCTGCACAATGGTATTGTAACAGGTAAGTAGAACGTTTTTTAATTTAGGGGAAAAAAAACACTCCGGTGGTGACGTCATTTCCGGCGCGGATGCCATCTTAGGACTCCCTAAAGAACCCATGCAAGTACACCCATACATGAGGTTCGAAATGCTGTATAGAAGAAAATGTACCATGTGAGTGTCCTGTGTATATTATTTTAATTACTGTGTTAATAAATGATAATACACTATGGAGGCTTTTCTCTTTGTGGACCATGTGGGAGCTGATTTTTCTGGATAAGAGCCATTTAGGATATTCCTAGAGGATACGCTTTAACCCAAGGGGGATCCAGGAGTGATCCATAAGGCATTTAGGCCCTTTTAGGGTCACAGCAAGGAGGTGAGGAGCCAATCTAGCTGTGTGTGGAGTCATCACCAGAGCCTACAAACGCACAAGATTCACCTGCATGATTGCATTTATTGTTGTGGACACTGGTGGCACGTTTTGTTTTAAGATATTACTTTGAGTGAGGTGTTCATTTATATTTACTTGCTGTATATATAGATTTTTTTTTTTTCTGATTTCAGCGGTTTATTTATGGTATGAATAGAGTGTGTTGACACTGAGCACTTGTTTTATAGGGTATATCCCCTGTATTAGGGGGCTTAATATTAGTCATTTCCACCATATGCACAATATCGTGTGATGTTGCACTGTTTTAGCATTCATTCTCATTGGATTCACTGTTTGTTCCACCATTATGTCACATTTTGTTTATGTTGAGATTTAGTTAGTTTTCACCAGAGCACTACACTTATTGATTGTTATATTTTGGTTTTTCACTTTAGGTAATAAGGAGCAGGTGTAGCAGCTTATTTTTAGTTTGAGAGCAGGAGGTTTTCCCCATTTCTTGATAAATGTAGGTCCAGTGTTAGAAAGTTGGGTCTCCGTCAGAGGTTATGGGTCTTACAGTAGGACAATGACCCAAAGCACACATTAAAAAGCACCCAAAAATGGTTTAAGAAAAAGCGCTGGAGAGTACTAAACTAGCCAGCAATGAGTCCAGACCTCAATCCCATAGAGCACCTGTGGAGAGATCTCAAAAATGCCACTGGGAAAAGGAACCCTTCCAATTTGTGAGACCTGGTGCAGTTGGCAAAAGAAGAGTGGTCCAAAATTCCAGTAGAGAGGAGTAAGAAAATTATTGATAGTCACGGGAAGTGATTGATTTCAGTTATTTTTTCCAAGAGGTTTGCTATCAGATATTAAATTGAGGGTGCCAATAATTTTGTCCAGTCCATTTGGTAATGAGATATAGGAGTGAAAGCAGTTAAAAAGTTTATATAGTTCAGTGAATTGATGAGTTGTTTTCTGAAATAACATTGGAGCTGCATAATGGGGTCTGCTTAGATTCAAACTGTTTAAAATGGTTCTAAAGTCACAAGTGTTTTTTTTCCAATCTTAATGTATTACCTGCATTAAGGTTAAAAAAAAAAAAAAAAAAAAAGAAAAAACAAAAAAACACCACACTTTTCACTAACCATTTGCTTCCCCTCTCCCTAAATACTTACCCGAGTCCTGTATTGATCAAGCTGTCTGCATCAATACTGCTCTTTCTCCCTAGTCTCACAGGGCAGATCGATAGCTGCAGGAGGCTTTGACTCCTGCTGCTGTCAATTAAATCCAGCGAGGAAGGAGCTGGGGGATGGGGCCAAACCCCTGTTCTCCAGCGGGGGACCCCAGAAGAGGAAGTAAGGGCTGCTCCGTATAATTCCTGTGCACAGAACAGGTAAGTATAAAACTCTTTTTTATTTGACTGAAGTTTACAACATTTTAGGGAATTATGGAAAAAAGAAAATCAGTTGTAAGCAAAAGGTCCTTAGATAAGCAAACTGCATAAATGGCCATAAACTCTAACATGGTTGAAAACAGAGCTTTGATTTATCAAAATCAAGGAAATCAAAAATCCAATTTACATGAGTGTAAGCATATGCAAAAGGATATACAAAGTCTGTAAAGATCACCTCAACTAACTGTACACGCTAGCAAAATGTTTTCTCTCGTATTTGAGCTCATAAAAAAAACTGCAGCAAAGGCAAAATAGTGATGAGGCATTTGCTTACACAATGTAACTTGGGCTTGAATAGGAATGATGACTTCTGACTGTGCTATAGGCAGTATGGTACTTAATGAGAACCTGTGGAGAAAAAAAATAGGCTATTGCTGCATGTAAAGGTTCTGGATCTGTCATCCCATCCCTGACATCACCAACTACTGGGTAGAGGAGCAAAGATCAACTTGACAAACCCTGAGCCTGTAGCTTAAAAAATGAGTAAGCAATGGCAGCTTTTATACTTCTGCCATTACAGACTACCTTGAAAAGGGTTAGGCTCTTGTTTTGCTGGGTCCGAGAACTGGTTTAGGTTTGCAGTAGAAACACTACTTGGACTTCTTCCCATGTTTACATAGCTTTCTTTCCTATAAAACGTACAACTTACTGGTAACAGACATAAATAGACAAAAAAGTAAAGAAAAAAAAAAAGAATGACAATGAAGAACAGAACACCTAAACTGTCACCCTGAAACCTATGCAGGCACACTAATGTCCCTTCTGGGAGACCTGGGACATTCTTATATGTAAACTTTACCAGTCAAGCACCAGCCTGCCCACTCACACAACACCTTGCTGGACACTGTCTGCCCATCACTTTGAACAACTGATATTCAAAGAGATGGGCCTGCCCTTAACTTTCTCAGGAAAGCTCAGATTTCCCAATTTAGGGAACCACACTATGGGAGGCTCCTGCAGCATTCAAGAGGCTATGACAAGGTATGAGGACGCATCGGAGCCCGTCTGCCTTTTATTTAATGCTGGCAGTTTAGGGATTGTAAAAAAAAGGATAGGATTACTTTAAATTATTGACTTATCCAGCTAGACTACTGCCTGCTTTCTTGATGTGTAGTTACATACGTTTATTACAAACAAAAAAAAAAGGAGCACTTTTGCATCAATAAATAAAAGAAAAACACAAGAACAGCTCATACTTCATCTGCCAAAGAACAGTGTTCTTCATCGGCATGCATTTATTTACATATCTATAAACACCCATAAAACACCAGCCGAGTCCACCGACAAGCAGCATGGTTACATGAATCCCATAAATAAGCAGTTCGTTCAAGAGGCTAAAGTCGACCCGCCTCCGCCCTAGCAGCAGCAGGATGATGGACAGTTTGTACTGGAAGCGTAGGAATATTCGGATGCCAAGATACTGAAGGCAAAACAAGATCGAGAGTGCCACCCAGAGGATGGAAGTGAAAAGGCTGCAGCTGAAATACAGCAGGAAGCGGATGAATCCATACATCCATCTGGACTTCAGGTAGATGTCAAAGTTGTTGTACTTGGTGCGCACTAGGTGCGTGGTCCGAACCGGTCCGCAGGCGGAATGTAGGCAGGTAGTGTGAGGGCCGTGGAATGAGCGAACACGGCGGGGAATGGGGATTACAGGCATCGGGTACCCTGGCGTATGCAGAGTCGCAGGGGAGGGCGTAGTAGGTTCATATCACCAGATTGGCAGGTTGCCAAGAAACTGAGAAAAAAAGAAATATGGAACAAGGGGCCGGAAATCCAGCATCATCCTTACCTGGAAAAGGAGAAAGGTCTTAAAGCAAAATTATGGCTTAGATCAGACTGTCTTCAGTTAATACAATTGTAACAAAACCACCATGTAATGTAACATTATTAGCTAATTATTAGCTGGAAAAAAAACCGTAGATGCTGACTTTTAAAATACAGCCACTTACCTGTCCCTCAGTCCAGCGGTGTTCTCACCACCGCTGGTTTCACCGGCCATCTTCTCTCCCTAGCACCAGCATCTTTAGTGTGGGCACCCGGCTGTGATAGGGCCGGGTGCCCACTGTGCATGCGCGAGAAGCGCTGCACTTTGTGAATGGCCCCATAGTCTTCTGGGACCTGTCACATGTCCCAGAAGACTATGGGGAGGGAGGACAACTTCCGCTTCCGATCGCTGGGGCGACCGCAGTGGAAGTGGGAACGGGTACCTGTCAAATTCGTGTAACCGCTCCCCCAAGGTGCAAATCCTTAATGAGGAGCGGGGGACAAAGCATTCAAGTGGAATTTCCCCTTTTGGGTGGAACTCCACTTTAAGGTGTAAACATGTAAAATATCCAGCAACAAACCATTTTTTATTATTTTCAGTATTCTGGCCTGAACTGGCTATACCTGCATCACTTCTCTTTCAAAAGTGTACAAAAGGTGCTTTAAAGAAGTATTAAACCCAAAAGCAAACATTTATTATATTGCAGCTTACCAATTCTTAGGTGTGATGGCTGCATTTGTTTTCTTTTCAAGGCTTTCTTTCTTCTATTTCCATCAGGTGATCCAGCTAGCAAGTCTATTGTTTTTCAAAAGCTCAAGCTTTCCAGCAGAATGTATCATGTATCAGTTTACATGAATGACATAAACCACTTAAAGTGATAAAATGCAGTAAGGTGAAAAACCTTCTGCCTTTACAACCACTTTAACACTGGCAAGGGTGATCACCTTTTATTTATTCACGTAAAACCTTCATCCCAAAAGGAAAAAAAAAAAACTGTTTGATGTAGCTGATTATAAAGTATTAGCTGGAGTTTGGCTTCAATTAGTATTTTGTATTTAATACATTTAAATGTACAAATATACATTTAAATGTACTGCTAATACATTTAAGGCCTCGTTCACACAAATCTGTCTGCTCAGTGTGGAATCTATCCATTGATGTGGGATGACCATCGTACACATCGGATCAAACGGGTGGTCAGAGCAGCGTCCTCTCTCTCTCTTCCCGATTGCAAGTGACTGGACTTCAGTGTGGACACCGCTCCCCATATACATGCCGGTGAGGTGACTTTTGCTTATTATCCAGCTTTGAGCGGCGCCAAATTATTTTGCACACCAGATAATCCATAATTGATTTTCAGCACCTTTAATGGCACTAGTTACCCTCATACTGTTAATCATAAGCACAAAGTTCCATTGTTCCTGGGTACTTTGGAATTAAGAATAGCTTACCAACAAACAGCACCTGAAGATGTGAACAATTTCAATCAATTGCTGCCCTTCAGAGGATCCTAAAGCTATATACTAACTAAATGAAATATTTTACGCATTTCGTTTTTTTAGGTTTTGAGACAGACAAAAATGTAGGCAAATTTTGTTCTATAGCACTGCACTTCAATTATACATGTATTTTAACGTTTTTAAAAGGTTCCTTGCCACATATCCTGTTTTTTTGGAAACTGCCTACACACATGAATGTAACAGAACCTCACTCAGTCTGTAATTATATTAGCATCTTGTAGTTCCAAACACAGCAGAAATCCAACTGGGAGAGAAAAACAGGCAAAACCAAAAGACAACCAGTCCTTTCTACAATAGATAGTACACAGGGAGGAATTACAACATTGTGTTGCTGTTCCTTCACCATCCAATCACAGGTGGGTTGGTCTTAGACCAAATGTTAATGCTTTTATTGAAGTAGGGTTAGAGTTTGGCTGTGCTGACAGGGTTGCCTGTAATAATGCAAAATTAGCTGAACAAAATTACAATTTTTTTGTTTGCCTACAGTTCCACTTCCAAGCCCAACTTCAGCCACAAACTTGGCCAATTAACCGATAACGCTTTTTTTTTTCATGAATTTGTCAGGACTAGCCCACCTGCAGGAAACACAAGATCAGAAAGTTTAAATGGCTGCCAGGAGCCATTGCCTTACAGTGATAGCAAGATGACTGAGAAATACTGTTTTGAAGGATTTATGGAAAAAGGTATTCTCAGGAAATAACTCAGGTTATCCCAAATCATCCTCCATGACAGTTCATTAGAGAGACTAGCAAGTTGTTACCACAGGTTACCTAAAGTATCTTCCTCCTGAAGGCTTTATCTTGGCTGGAAAAGAACTTATAGTGAAACTTTAGTCGGAAAATAAAGTCCAGATAGATCACTTCTGGCTGGTCCCTTTTGCAGGTATAGCTATGAAAACATTAAAAATAAGAGCTGTTTAAAATCCAGTAATGCACGGTCTCATCCTGCTCTGCACCTGCTCAATTGTTCAGTTGCTCAGCACTGTGCCGAAAATCAGAGCCACTAGAGGCCAATCTGCTGACAGCCTAAGGATTTAATGCTGCTCACGGACTCTGGGCTTCAGCAAAAATGGCAACCCCTGGCAAGAAAGAGGAACAATGCTGAAGGCAGTTTACAGCACACTTTAATTTTGGTAGCATAAATATCAATGTGGAATATATGATCCTTGCTATAGAACATTATTTTTTATCAAGTTGTTATGGCTAAAGTTCTACTCTAGTCCAATAGTTCTTAACAAATGTGTTATCACTGCTCCATGTGGCTGATATGCACATCTGCTCAACAGAGGCACAGTCTCTTTCAGCCCAGGACCTTTAGACCGCGTGGAATAAGCTGTGATATGTAAGGGACATTGTATCCCTGTTGTTGTGTAGGTTATGTTAAATCGCTAGACAGATCTATCTCACTGGATACTGTGGATTCTTTATTTCCTCTCTTAGACTTGTCAAAGAGTATAAAAGAGTGCCTTGTGTTTTTTCACACTGAGGTGCTCTTGGTTTATTGGAGCTTGCATCTTCTAACATCCGATGAGGCAAACTTGGGGGCAGATGCATGTTGACTGAAAGATGGCAGAACTTTTTGATCAGTATAAAGCTCTTAAAACATGTTGAGCAGGTAAGCAGGATCTGGTCGTATAATGACGCTGTCTTAAAGCAGAGTAAAGAAAGGTTATTTTACTGAAAGGACCTGAATCCTGCTGACCCTATGGCAGATGTAATAACAACTAGAAATACTAGGTGTTTAATAGCAGCATCTGTAATGGAGATGGCAGTTTGTAAGTCTATTTAATACGATCTTCAGGTCCCAAGGAAGTATTGTAAGGAACTTTGAAGGTTTAAGCCTAAGCAGAGCTTTAAAGAAATGCTTGACTGAGGACTTATTGAAGAGGAAACCCAATATCGATGCAACTCTTGTAGTCTGTGTTGGTAATGTGGGCCCAGAATGACTTTCAGGCTTGGCTCATCTTTGTCTTTAATTGTCATCTATTCAGAATCCACACAATCAGTTTTAAACTCCAACAGATGAGGGTGTAGGACTTGGTGATGTGACAGGAGAGCCTTCCTGTTCCAGGGAAGGCTAGGGGGGTATTTTGCCATCCTCTGCGGAATTGAGAACCAGGCTCATCTCAGACATAGGGGGGCAAACAGGAGAATTCTGAATTGCTCATATTGACTTCCTTGATTAGCTTGTAGGCTACACTATCCAGCCCCACTGGAATCCCATGTGGATTTAAAAAAAATGGTATTTTGGCATTTTGTGAAGTAGTAAATAGGTCTAATTGAAGAATGCCCATCTTATCACTAATAGACATTTTTCTTGTCTGATTTGGGTTTGGCTTAGCAAAATTGCCATGATATTTTCTTTCCTCGTGATATGGATATTGAGGGCAGATTTTCCTCTGCTGAGGTCATTATGGGATTGCCTTTCTTCAGAAGTGTCTTGGACTGTACCCCCTTATGAATTAGGTAGGACACGGTCATGATTTTGTCGGACAGTACCAGTACATGTTTTGTCAAAATTCTGGGTCTGAAATGTCTGAGTGCTTCCTCCACTGCCTGAAGTTCTGTGTCATTTGATGATTGTACGACAAAGGGAGGTGGCTATCTGCTTTGGGCAGGGTTGTTTAGGAAGCGGACTCCTTCACCCTAGGAGCTGGCACCCTTGGTGACTTTCAACTGAGTTTAGTAGCATGGCAACCTACCTTGACTAAGATGGCTCTTCTCAGTCCTTCATTTCAGGGAACTTTTCACTCCCCTGCTCATAATTAGAGGTCTGTCCAGGCTTTCTTTTTGGTCATTCCAGTTTCCTAGGCCTATATCCTGAAAAAGTCTAGAATGAGCCTGCACCCAAACCACCCCCCAAATGGCTGACATCAGGCTACCTGAAATGGACATAGCTTTCCATGTTGGTAGCGCATCAAGGTTCTGCACCCACCTTGTCAGGAGCACCCACCTTGTCAGGGACGCAATCTGTGACATTTCCTCTTCCATAAGTTAGGGTGACCTAGAAAAATAACAGAAAGAAAAAACAGCTTGATCAGGGCTTGAGCTGGACTAATTTCAGGATCAAAGTTAATGGTCAGTGTCTTTTAGGTATGATAAAAAAAAAAAGTTTTAGTGTGTTTAAGTAGGATAAAAATTAAAAAGCAAAATGCGCACTATTGTTTCTTGACCCAACTACAGGTAGAAACAACAAACAATGTATACTTTTGTCATATTGCTGCTAACATTAGGAGTAGGAGAGTTTATTTATGGTACTTGTATAGCGCCACCAATCTATGCAGCGCTTTACATATATGTTATACTGTACATTCACATCAGTCCCTAACCCTCAAGGGGCATACAATCTAAGGTCCTTAACTTACATTCATAC